TGTGTGAAACACTGCTCTATATAAAGATCTTCAATGTCACACTTAAATCTGATTCTTGTGTATAAAAATGAATCTCAGATTTCTTACAGTAAACTCACAGATATCAAGAACAAGCTATTTTGTTCATCTGAATTGGGAAACTTGAGAACATGCTGTGGGCCTTTTCACAAAATGGCTCTCCTAGAAAGAGGCTATATATTCTTATTCACAAAAAGCTGCCAGTGATTGGCATGGTCAGTCATAAAATACCCATTTAACCAAATGCAAAGAGATGAAGCTGCTCCTTTCCACCTTATCAAGTGTTATGGGGTCCTTTCTACTGCTTTAGTTTATGAGATATGTGAACACTTTTACCTGAATCACTGATTTACAGCCATTAATTATATTTTAGTTGTTAAAATGCTTAAGTGGGGTCCACAGGCAGCATTGGAAATGAAGATTATGCAAGAAATTCATACTTTCAAACTTGTCATATAAGTTTTTGTCAATCCAAAACATCTACAGAATATTAACAATTAGATGAAGCAGAGAACTTGGTATACATTAAAGGAGACAACTATGGGCTTCCTCCTGCCCACAGGAACCACACTGCCCATCTGGTGTATAAGGTAAAGCATAGCAAGTCTCCTGTACAAAACAAAAACAAACCCTTGAAACCTGCTGCTCTATTGCCTCTCCAGCCATCTCTTGCAGTTCTAAATGAGAAATTTCCACTTTGCCCCCCCACTTCATTTTCTTGAGCTGTCAAAGCATTAGGCGCTGCTCCCAAATAGATGCTTCCAAGCAAGACCAAACAACTTAACTATTTTCCTTCCTACATTCACTCAACCTAATCAATCTGCAGACACACTTCCTGCTTCTACCAGCTGCAATTATCAAAGAGAAAAAAGAAGGGGGAAAACACATCTTTCAAACAATAAAATGGAATGTTCTTCTGTGGGACAATGCTTCCTGTAGAATTCTTGAATATTACCTGTTGTGTGCAGAATCTCAGCCTATTTATTGCTCTAGTATTTTATCATCGAGTGGCAAACATGGACAAATGCTCTCCATTTCGAAGGGTCTTTAGTAATAATCATTTGCATGGGGAGTATGGACAGAGGTCAGACACAGGAACATCTGTACAATGTTCTCAAGACGTGAACTTAAGACTACACCATCATACTGGCCAGCTTACTGCCAGCTTTCTCTTGGCCAGACTGCACAGAGGCCAGACTTCACTGAGGCTAGCTTCAAGATGGGAACAAAGGCTTGTCAGTCATCATCTACTGAAAAACTTATAATTAGCTAGATTCATATAACACACTAAGCCACGAGCATCGTTTTCAAACTCAAATACCTGGATCCCTACAACATGCTAAAAGAATATAATGGCCTTAGATTCACATGTGAAGTCAGTTCTTAAGTTGAATGAATCTTGTAAAAACCGTGAGACTCTCTTTCAATCCCTCTTCTATTGACCTAATGGGGAAGAGATAATGCTCTGTCCTGGGGGAAGGTGAATTTTTGCTATTTTCAAAACTTGAAAAAAATGATGACCTACAAAATATCATAGCATTTCCCATGCCTGAGTAGTATTCCCCCATCTGCTGGATTACTAACATGAACATAATTTTTATGTTTTAATTAAGAATTGCCAGGCTTCCGGTGGAGGAACAATGGCAGGAGGTTAATTCTGGCTGAAGCTCCCTGAAGCTGGAATTATAAACATGGTAAATTGAGTGTCTCAGGATTTTTTTCTGAGACATGAAGCATTCTCTGGGCAAGGAGAAGCCATCGAATTGCACCTCGTGTCTTCCAGACGGCTATAGCTTATCGATCGATCGTGGATGGCAAATGAACAGTGAGCAATCAGCTGGGAAGCAGGTGGAACAGCTTATCAGCGCCGTGTCTAAAGCCTCTTCAAAGAGACATTACTTCCGGCCACCCCACTTCTAAAATCACCTTTGTTGCGTGTTACTTAAAGAATTTAAAGAGGCTATCCCCACTACAGAAGTATTTCTTCTCTTGGCTGGCTTTTCATTATTTTTTGGGACTTTTAAAAGTGCATTGTATTGGATCTGAAGGTCTGAAATACGAGCATGCAATCTGGAAGTTTTAATGTTTTGCAGGAAGGTTTCTACATTTTTTGTTATTATTACTTACATCTTTTGCTTTTAAAAAGGAAGATTTTTATATAAGTATTTTCTTGTGGAATTGAGACCAATCTATTTTTAGATGCTGTGGGAAAGTTTTGGTTTGGCGATTTTCTCAAGTTGTGATTGGCTGCAGACTTGACCCTCCCTTGCTTTGTTGCTAGTTGTGGATATCTGGTTACACCTGACTTTGGGGAATATTACTTTGGGCCACAAGAGGGAGCTAAAGTATTATATTTGGATTATTGGATTACTGAAAGGATGAAACAGCTTTTCCTTATTGTTTAAGCAAGGGAGGAAGAAGAAGATAGAAACAGAGAGAATGGCTGCTAAAAAGCAAACAAGGCGTGGGTCTGGTGAGGCAGACTGAATGAAAGCTATGTTTGAAGAATATACTTTGAAAACTACACAGATGATTACCTAAGCACTTGACCTAAGGACTGCTGAACTGGAAAAAAGGCTTGATCAAAAAATTGCTGAAATGGAAAAGAAATTGGAAGGAGGGATCAAAAATGCTAATGAGAGTTGATTTGTTGGAAAGTGAAAGAATTGATTTGTTGGAAAGTGAAAGGGGAAAAGAGCTGGATAAAATAGCATTATTGGAGTTGAGAGATAAAGAGTTTTGTTTAAGGCTCAGGGGAATCCCTGAAATTAAAGAAAATTTAACAAATATGATTACATGTGCTTTGGTGGAACGGATTGGGAAGAAGATAAAATGTCATATGAGATAGATAAAATTTTATGTATAAACTCTAGATATGCAATTGTACATGGCAAGCCAAGAGATATGTGGGTACAGTTTTCTAGGGGAAAAACAAGGGATTTGATTTTGCAAGCACATTTTGACTCCAAACTTAATATTCAGAATGTGGATATAATGGTCCTTAAAGAAATACCAGTAAGGATTTTCAGGAAGAGAAAAGAATATTCATTCCTGACAAATGTTTTGAAAAAGAACAAAATCCCCTTTCATTGGGAAAAACTGGAAGGGATAAGTTTTTCTTACCATCAACAAAGATTCAAATTATCTTTGATTTCTAAGGCTAAGGACTTCTTAGCTAGATTCAGAACTAACTTGGAACAGGATACATCTGGAATTAAGCAAATGGACGTTGCTACATATGGGGAAGAGACATGTCGTTCCCAAAGACTGTGGTGAATCTTCTGTATAACGATGGCTCTGAAGTGTCTTACATGGAATATAAATGGAGCAAACGCTCCACAGAAAAGAAAAAAAGTTTTTATTTAAATAAATTGAAATATGATGTAATTTGCTTACAAGAAACACATATAAAGAAGAAAGATATAAAATATTTGATAAAGAAGAATTTGGGACAAGAATTTGTTTTAGCTAATTCGAAGAAAATAAATGGACTGGTATTATATGTTAAAAATCACTTGAAATCACGTTTGTTGTTAATAGATGATCATGGTAGATACGTAGCAGTTGAAGTGGAGATATATGGGCTTAAAATGATTGTTGTGGGAATATATGCTCCGAACGATAAGAGCATATTTTTTATGAAGTATTTGAATGAACCGTTAGCTTTCTTGCACCAAAGTTGGTGTTTGATGGGAGATTGGAATGGAGTTGCTTCACCGTTGATTGATAGAACATCTGAAAAGCAAATTAAAATCAAGCAAGGAAAACTACCAAAATCCTTTTTTGATTTAATGGATAATTTGGCATTGGTGGATTCATGGAGATATAAAAACGGACTGGCAAAAGATTTTACTTTCTATTCAGAGAGACATAAATCTTTTTCAAGAATTGATATGATATGGGTTTCAATGGACTTGGTAAATAAAATTTCTACAATGGATATACTGGCAAAAGATTTTACTTTCTATTCAGAGAGACATAAATCTTTTTCAAGAATTGATATGATATGGGTTTCAATGGACTTGGTAAATAAAATTTCTACAATGGATATTTTACCAAAGACTTTTTCTGATCGCAATCCTGTGAGTATGATAATTAAAAAAATATCTAGGTCTTTTAGGTGGAGATTGAATGAATCTATTTTGCAAAAAGAAAAGGTTGTGGAGG